CCCCAAAACCCCAAAACCCCAAAACCCCAAAACCCCAAAACCCCATTCAAAGGGAAGTCCATTGAAGAATATAAAAAGATAGTCATATCAATTAAGATTTAGAGTTCATATAATGGAAATATTTCATGTTGGAATCCACATAATCCTTCTGGCTCAACTTTGCTCTTAAATGGAACCTCAAGTCATCCCTTTTACTGCTGGCTAGGGGCTCGTTAGGGTTTATATATCTATGAACTTGCTTTACTGTTACTTTTTGAGGAGTAGACTGCACTAATTTAGCCCATCTATTAAATCCAGCAAGGTCAAGTTTTCTTCCTCCTTTTGCTACTTTATTCTTAGACCAACAGTTTTGCATTTGCTGATAACGAGCTACAGGATCACTTTTCTTATTGTATTTTGTCATTTTCCCAGTCTTCTTGACAGGCTTTGGTTTAGCAGTCTTTGGTCTGCTATATGTACTTCTAAATCCATTTGTGTTTCTAAAAGTATTTGTACTCCTAAAGCCAGTCATTGTGCTTTTCATCTTGGCTGCAGAAGCTCTCTTTGCCTTCTTAGACTTTTTCTTAATAGTTTGAGGAGCCTCCAGCATTGAAGGATCGTCATTGTTCAAATAATTAATATTTTCTTGGTTGTTCACTTTTCCAGTTTTGAGGTTGATATGGTTCCTCTTGTTCTTCATTGGCATTGCAGTAACTGGCCTTTTGGATTGTTCTTTAAAGTATTCAAGATTTTCTTGAAAATTTTTATATTTTTGCTGAGTTCCAAAGCTATCTTCAGAAGAATATCCTTCTTCAATAGATTCCATGTTTGGTTTGTTCTTATTCATGGTTTCAGCATCGAACATTTGCGCATTTTCCACTTGCATTTCAGCAAATTTTGGTTGCATTGCTAGCTTATTTTGATGATCCTCTTCCTCATTATGATGATAAAGCGCCTCATTATTCTTATTTGCGAAGTTTGGCTCCATCTGGTGATAATTATTTAGTTCTTCTTCTTGTGCTTCTTCCTATAAGACAGGTTAATACAAAATTAGATTTGAGATAAAGTGATGCTGAACCATACCTCATAGCCTTCTTCCACTTCATGATCCTTTTCTTCATCCGAAGCTAATTGTTCATTGTGATGGTTGTCAAACATGTTGTCCTCTCTATATTCAAACTGATGGCCTTCGTTTTGGATTTGGTTTAGCTGCATGTCCTTAATCTGTTGGTAGTAATTATCCTGTTCGTCATAATTTGATTCTCCTAGATTTATTAAAACCTGAGCATCTTAGCTCTAAATTTGCAAAATTTGCAGAAATTAAGAGAATATATCATTAATTCTTACCTTCTGCTTCGTAGTACTCTCCCTCTGCTTCTTCAGAGGAGGAATCTTCATTCTGGTAGTATTGTTGCATTTCTTGATATTGGTCCATGTTGTAACCTAGCATGAATTAAAGTTTAGGCCTACCCTTGCCGCTCATTTTGAATTCAAATTAGATATTAAAAATTGTTTCAAATATTTTAATAAAATTTGGGGTTTTGGGGTTTTGGGGTTTTGGGGTTTTGGGGTTTTGGGG